CATTGAGAGAGTTAATTTCCAGCATTATTCGAATTGATAAGCATGCTTAGGCTCTAAGTGGTTTTAAAGGAAACATAAGTCATTTCCAGCATTATTCGAATTGATAAGCATGCTTAGGCTCTAAGTGGTTTTAAAGGAAACATAAGTCAAATTAATTTAAGTGTTTTTTTTTATTGTGTGGAGCCGTGTTGAGTGAGAGTTATTTGGTTGGATGGATTGACGATTTTCAAATCTTAACAATTATAACGGGACAAAGAAAAAAGAGCTTGCATAGGTGATCTTTGTTGCTGGATTGTATGATATTTGTAGTTTGAATACCATTCGCTTGTGTGCTACTTTACGAAGGTTATGCTTAGTTGATATTTGATGGACTTATATACATTACACGACTATAAAATACATAAATGACACAAAAGCAACCGGTTAATTCTAACTCTATATTCATGCTTAGTTTGTAGGTATTGAATCATAGGCTAACCTTTACGACATGTCTGAATCGTTGCACACTACTGGTTTCTTGGAATGTTGGTGCGGGAAAAGGGCCGTTATTCGCACATCTTGGACAGGCGATAACCCGGGCAAGAGATTTCATTCTTGCGGCAGCTACAAGCTATGTTTTAACTGAATATTTTGCAGTTGATTTTGATGTACTGAACAATATATTCGAAGTAATATACAATGTTATTAAGTTTTTTTTTTTGCGATTGTTCAGTATTTAATATGAAAATGATATTGCATTTAAGCATATTTTTACGAAGTTCATTCTGATATTTTTGTGTATTTAATTACAAAGATAACATTGAATTCATATTCTATGTTTTGAAACTCAGTATGTTTTTTTTATCAAGCATGGAAGAGATGCAAATATTTTTCATGGGTGGACCCTCCTATGTGTGACCTGTCAGTTAAAATCATCCCTTGGTTATTGAGGAAGATCGATGTACTAGAGGGAACAAATGAAGACATCAAATTTAAGCAAATAACATAGTATCATTTGCATATTTCATTTATTAGAGGGAAACGAACCCAGATTTCTCGCCTCCGACGAATAATAACACAAACGTGAGCTAAATAATCACAAAGTTGAACCCAAACAATAATAAAGCACCTTGGTCATATTTGATGAATAAAAATGATAGTAAACAACAATAATAATAAAAAAAAAAGTCGCAAACAATAGGTTGATGATCCCATGAACTGCACACACCAATCCGTTTCTTATGAATTGTGACCTGTTGTACAACTTTGATCCTGCTTAAGTCATTTATGACATGCAGAAGCAGAGAGCCTGTTAAGTTCTATTATATTTCCTGCCTTTTGTTTCTCTCGAACTGATAGCAAATGTTGGACTAGGAACACATAATAAATGCTTAGACACAATCATAACATAAAGAATACAAACTAAGATTCCGAAATTCATATGTTCCAAAAACAGAAATTCAAATTACATAAGCCATCAATCACACAACAAACAATAATCATTTGCAGGGCATATCAGCACCCAAGGTTTTAACAGTTAAAATCCACACATAGAAGTGTTTTAGTTTTCTAACAAACTAGCTACAGGCATCCTTCTTTCATCATTTTCACCATCACAGTTTTATCTTCCGAGGACAGGCTGAAAAACATGGAGAGCTCCGAGGACAGGCTGAAAAACACGGAGAGCTCCTGTGGGTTCTTACATAACCGCATTGTCACAATCATTTTATCCTCTTTTGACAGGAAATGCATATCAGACAATGACTCAAATACTGAATTCCTTTTCCTCTCCTCCTCATGCTCAAACCAAGCCTAGATGTAATCCTATTAAAGCTCTCTTTCGTATTCTGAGAGAATGATTGCATGATATCTAGAAAACACTCTTCCCGCTGGCTCTCTCCCTTCCTTTTGCTACCCTTCTGTCTCTTTAAGTTCATTAATTATAAAAATTGATACAGGTATATATTCCCATCGTCGGTTTCATCAAACAAGCATAACGGCTATGGCATAAGGCCTACAAAAGCAACTATTTGACTAAATGTGACTCCTCAATTAGATAGTAACACGTTCCCAATCACAGTGGTAAAGTAAGTCAATCACACATCATTAATTAGTAACTTTCAAATATGGATTGGCCTCCAAAGAATGATTTTTTCATATAGATGACCATCTTTATTAACCGAAGCATGCATGACTTGAAAAAAATACCATATAGAATAACAACAATAAAAGATAATACAGAGGCTACATTCATTTCCATGCATGTGAGGCCAAGAGGGTCACGTAATTTTCAACTTGTTTCAAAATAGTTACAACAAATAAAAAATAATATTACCTGAGATCCAACAAAAATAAATGCCAAAGTGTTAAGAGTGTTGGACTTCCTCACCTGAGCAATGAAATAATACCAAGGTGATTAGTTGAGCAGCCAAGATATCCCAAAGCCTACGTATATAATTACGATGCTAGTATATGACCCACGACAACAACAATGGTTCAATGGTTCAGCCACAAACAACAATTCAAGGCCAACATAGAGGTTAACATGCTATTCATTTACAAAATTCAAAAGATAATCTATAAACCCTCTTAAGCATGACACATGCTAAAACTTATTAAGGCCACAAATGAAAGATCTACCACCTCTGAAAGTAGCACAAATAACAGCATGGAAAACACATATAAGGACAAAGCAACACTGACAAGGTAAACAAACAAACGATTAAAACACAAAACATCAATGGTCTCTTTTCTTTCTGCTTTGTCAAGTTCAAACATAATATGAAAAGGCGTCAAAGGTGAAAGCAAAACATCAAATAATTCACCACATACTTAGCATGATAATCACACAAAATATAGCTTAGCAAATAAAGTCGATGAACAAAGCATTAA